AATGAAGAGCATTGCTACATTAATCTATGTAAATGATACAAGTGAAGACAAATGATTAATAAAAATATGAATATATATGTAAGTGTGCATTTATCGATAGTAGAACATTTAGAATAAGAAGGATAGACAATAGATGGTGGTTGTTGTTGTTCATAATAACGATAAATTGGTTGAGTAACTATACCTCTAAAAACTAATCGTTCATTAATCGGTTGTACAGGACGAAAATCTTTATGCAATACATTTAAACTTAATAATTGTAATTCATCATACGAAAAGTAAAGAAACGAATAAAATATTGTCCATAAAACGTTTTCAGTGCATGGTGGAGTGGTTAAAGATCCTTCATAATGGTAAAAATCACTAAAACTGTTCATGGTACCACCCATCATTTCCATTAAGTTTGATTGATATTGAACTGTTTCACCTTCATTTATTAATTTAACTGCTTTATTAACGTATGAATGCCATAATGATGAAGAAGACGATTGTCCAATTAGAATCATAAATGCTAAAACAGCTATTTGTTGAGTTTTTGAATTTTTGAATACAAAATGGGCTTCACCTGAATATCGCTGACCATTTATCGTATGTTCGCTACCTTCTCTGGGACCGGAACCCCAATGTAAATGAAAATTGGTAAAACAGAATGGACCGTCATTTGGAAGATTTCCACCCCAAACAAACAAAGTACAATTGTTGTTACTGTTGCTATTGTCAAATTCACCAATAATTGTATGACCATTATTTTTCAACGTAAACGGTAAAAAGCTGTTAAATAATGATGAAAATTGAAATGCTTCAAATTGTCGATAAATTAATGATTCTGTATTAATATTAATTGGTGATTGTTTGGAATCTCCGCATTGAGGATATAAATATGGCCATGTGTTAGGACCATATTCTTCGTAATTCCAGTGGTGTCCTGTGCCACAATAGATTTTATTTTGATTAGTAAATAAGAATGAGAATAGTACAAGTAATAAGCATTCATTTGAGAACAACACAAAAAGAAAAATGAATCATTACACTAGCCATTGTACTTAATGTTTCCATTCAAGGTACGCAAAAGTTTGTTTTCTACTTTCTTTCTTTGTATTCTACCAGACAGAATAAATAAAAAGTTTTGAATGAAAAGAAACATTTCATTCAAATTGTGTAATCAAATTTTTGTTTCTTTTTCTTTTCTGTTTGTACATGTTGATGTTAAGTAATGAATCACAGAACTATTGAATCTACCTTAGCACTGTATGATGGGAGCGCAGGAGGAGCCCATTTTTATTAGACGTTTTTGTGTATGACCCCCTTATCGACTCAGCCTGCGGACATTCGTTTATTTTTCATTAGTAGCCTTTGTTCTTGGCAAAAATCGAACTCCTTGTTGCACAAATATCTCATTTAGCAACAGCGAAAAGTAATTATAAATAAT